AGATGGGGGAGTCAGCAAGCCAAAGCCCAGACTTTGAACTAGAAGTCACTATCTGCATAATTTGGAGCCATTATCTGAGGGCTGATGGGGTGTTCTCGAACGTGATGGGAAGAACCCCCGAAAGGGCCCGCTGTACCATTCTTATTACATTGTTACTGGCCAAAGCGAATCTATGACAAGTGAAATACTCCAAGCTTGGTATTGATGGAAAGACAATTTTTATAGTCATATTGCCGCTGTTGAGAAATCAGAAGTGGAAAATTTCGGTTCAACGGCTTTTATTTAAATCTCGGACTCTATAGCCCAATGCCAATAAGACTCAGAAGGTCTGGAACCATCTCGGCTTCTGGGTGCTGCCGAAAATGATTCAATAAGACCCTCAACATTAATTTTGTATCCAACGTCAATACTGGACTCCATAATTCCCAGAATGGAACAAAATGGGGCAATGCAAGTGTGAGAAGAATTTTAATAATCAGATTTCCTGCTATGGAGCCCACGGGGGTGATAAAGGAATACACAGTGCTGTGCTGAGCCCCTTAGGGGTTCTTTATTCAAACTGAATATACATAGAAACATTGTTTCATTGAATTAGTGATCCTGCTTATTATCCAAATACTTTTTTTATCAATGACAGGTTCTCTTTAACATTGTACCATTTTCTTTATCACTGAACTGTAACAAATCATTTGTCTTTAGAGAATAAAGTTTAGGAGTCAAATTAATGAGACTTAAATGAGTGTTTTTGGGGGTGTTTGGATCAGCAATTTTATCTTGCAGCACCGAGGTCCTGGGCTTCAAATATAACCAGGCCCTAGGTGTTTCCTGTCCTGTGGTAGACCGTCCACAGCTAGTGTGTGGTAGATCTTTATTTTAATTCCTCAATACTCATCCCTCACTGGCCGTTCCTGGTTTCTGCACCTGTGCTGGTACATGGTCCTCTCCTATGGTGTTGATGTCCCATGATGCCTTGCGGACTCCAAGCTGTATCAGCATTGCTGCCCAGAGGGCGTTGTCACCCTCGGATCTGAATTCTGGAACCTGGCTGGATGACCCGGTAAAGAAGATGAAACTATGGCTGCGATGGAAGGAGAGGAGATAACTATGACTCCAATGGAAGGAGATGAGATAACTATGACTCCAATGGAAGGAGATGAGATGACTATGACTCCAATGGAAGGAGATGAGATGACTATGACTCTGATGGAAGGAGAGGAGATGACTCTGATGGAAGGAGAGGAGATGCCTCTGATGGAAGGAGATGAGATAATTATGACTCCAATGGAATGAGATGAGATAAATATGACTCCAATGGAAGGAGATGAGATAACTATGACTATGATGGAAGGAGAGGAGATGACTATGACTCTGATGGAAGGAGATGAGATAAATATGACTCCAATGGAAGGAGATGAGATAACTATGACTATGATGGAAGGAGAGGAGATGACTATGACTCTGATGGAAGGAGATGAGATAAATATGACTCCAATGGAAGGAGATGAGATAACTATGACTCTGATGGAAGGAGAGGAGATGACTCTGATGGAAGGAGATGAGATAATTATGACTCCAATGGAATGAGATGAGATAAATATGACTCCAATGGAAGGAGAGGAGATAGCTATGACTCCAATGGAAGGAGAGGAGATAAATATGATTCCAATGGAAGGGGATGAGATAAATATGACTCCAATGGAAGGAGATGAGATAAATATGACTCCAATGGAAGGAGATGAGATAAATATGAGTCCAATGGAAGTAGAGGAGATAACTATGACTCCAATGGAAGGAGATGAGATAACTATGACTCCAATGGAAGGAGAGGAGATAAATATGAGTCCAATGGAAGGAGAGGAGATCACTATGACTCCAATGGAAGGAGATGAGATATCTATGACTCTAATGGAAGGAGAGGAGATAAATATGAGTCCAATGGAAGTAGAGGAGATCACTATGACTCCAATGGAAGGAGATGAGATATCTATGACTCTAATGGAAGGAGAGGAGATAAATATGAGTCCAATGGAAGTAGAGGAGATCACTATGACTCCAATGGAAGGAGAGGAGATAACTATGACTCCGATGGAAGGGGAGAAGATTATTTTACCATTTTATTAATTGTTATTTTTATATTTAGTTACACATTAAATCCCAGAGGGGACAATATCTGCCACAATTCCGTGTACTCTCCCACAGTTGGTGTGGATTTCCTCCAACAATCTAACAAACATACTTCCATTTTATTGGAGGGTTACCAACCTGCCTTTACCATGACTGCATTACGTGTGTGGACTCTGTCCAGCACTATATGATATTTTGGCTCCATATATCAAGAATAAACACGTCATTGTTAGTAGTATTCAGTAGAGACAACAAGGATACATCTGACAGACCTTTCTTAAAGTATATGTCCAAATAATATAAGGTTTGCAAGGAGTGGGGGAGGGCTAGAACCCCTCCCAGGTCTTTGCTTCTATTTGGGGCTTCATTAGAGAGATCTCCACTCACTTCCTGTCCTGCTGACAACATTGTATCAGACAGGAAGTAAGGGGAATGGACCAACAGCAACATGGACTAAAATAAATATGTTTTGCTTTAGCAGTTTTGGGGACTACAACCCATGTCAGATTTTTTATTTCTCAATAATTCTTCAAGTGGTGGTTGTAAAAGTCCCCCTTCTTCAGGGCTGAATCAGCTCAAGACAATTAAATCTGGACTGAAAAATAATATCAGAAGCATGGGCAGTTTATTTCTGATTGTCCCACTGGAAGCCTTATTTGTTGTTTTAGTTGGGCTGTCCATGAACAATAAACTAACCTTGCTTCCAATATAAGACCAGGAAAAGTCAACGCGTTTTGGGTGTTGTGAAAACTCCCCTTTTTCAGGGCCGAATAGACTCAAAAGAATGAAATCTGGACCAGAAAATAATATTATAAGCATGGAAAGCTTCTTGCTGATAGTTCCATTGGAAGCCTTACAGGTGAAACTCGAATAATTAGAATATTGTGCAAAGTTCATTTATTTCACTAATGCAACTTATGCGGTGAAACTAATATATGAGAGAGACTCATTACATGCAAAGCAAGATAATTCAAGCCGTGATTTTTCATATGTGTGATGATTATGGCTTACAGCTCATGAAAACCCCAAGAACCCCAAATCCACAACCTCAAAAAAGTAGATTATTACATGCAATCACTAAAACAAGGATTGTACATAGAACAATATCGGACCTCTGAGAAGTACAAGCATGCATATGTACTCAGTACTTGGTTTGGGCCCCTTTTGCAGCACTTAATGCCATTACTTTTGCACGATATTCTAATTATTCGAGTTTCACCTGTATGTGTTGTTTCAGTTGGGCTGCCGATGGGACTATAAACAATAAACTCTCTGTGCTGCTAATATTATTTACCAGTCCAAAATTAATTCCTTTGAGCCTATTAAGCCCCGAAGAAGGGGGACTTTCACAACTCCCAAAGCATGTTGGCTTTTTCTTGGCAATCCTAAATAAAAAAACAATTCTACATATGTGGAGTGGCGCTTCCATCCTATATTTTCTTTCTATGTCCCCAAATTCTTCTTTACTTCCTGTCTTGTTAAAACGTTGTCATCAAAACAGGAAGTGAGGGTAAATCTAACTAGCAGAGCTCTGGATAGCAGTAAAAACCCATTAAAGAAGAACTATGAGGTCAGTGTTTTTCCCCATAGTTCTCCTAATAGTCACGGGTGGACATAAACTAGCGTCCTCCTGTGACCCAAAGCTCAGTATATCGCGAGCTGCAGCTCCCTATATACTGAGACGCCGCAGCCGGAACGGATGCTGACAATTCTGCCTGGATCCACCCAGCTGCGTGAGTGACAGCTGGCTCTGCCTATCTAGAGGCAGAGCCAGCTGTACCTCCCCGGTCCGTTCCGCCAGTCAGCGCTGGAGGATCGGAGCGAGGAGGGGAGAATCCCTGCAGGGAGCCGTGAGTGACAGTTACGGCTCTCTGCAGGGAGATGATCGAGAAGTGAGCGAGCGCCGGTATGTGTGCGCTCACTTCCCGATCTATTGGGCGTGTGACAGTTTCATTGTCACAGGTCGGCTCAAACTATGAAGCCCCGTTCACATTGAGCGATTTATCGCGCGGTAATTACTGCGATATCGCGGCAAATTACCGCGCGATATCGCGCTCCAATGCATTTCAATGGGGCAAAGGGTCCTGCTGTCGCGGGTCGTGTGTCGCTACAGCAGGACCCTTTTTGGAGCGGATTTAGGCACGATTCAAGCTTGCTCAATGCAAGCTTGAACGCGATGTCGCGCTGCAAATCTCGCGATATCGCGCAATATGCAAATTGCGCGACAAACGCACGATTTGCATATCGCGCAGTGGGAACGGGGCCTGAGGATGAGTGAAAATCACTCCCCTCATAGTTCTCCTTTAAGAGTAGTAATCCTTCTCCACTCCATCCAAAAAACAAACAAACCATAGAGTTTACAAATGTTATCCAGTAATAATATATTATCTACAGAACAATAGATCTTAGAACACAAACAATATAAATGTCACATATATAATATCCTATTGCTCTGTGGAGACATTACCCAAGAGAGCACGCGGAGGTAGAAGAGGCAACACATTCACTTGCAGAGCAAATTTGATACACGGCGTCTATATATAGACTTAGCGGAAACTATTCAACTTTTAGAGGAAAGCAGGAACACCATTGGCTACCATCTACGCGGCACGGATTGCACAGATCTCATCTTTCTAAAAAAAAAAAAGTTCTGGAAATGTGCCAATGGAGACTTCACCGGAGCCTACGCCCACTGAGGTCACCAGACATGAAGAGACGGAGCCCTAACGGCCGTAGAAAGGATCTGTATCTGGTCGGTTTACAAACATTTTACAAAAACATACAATCTTGTTATAAACGATGAAATAAATGGCATTGAAAAGTCCTTTTTTGTTTTTAAAAGCTGGAAATGATTCCTCAGCTCCTCCGACGATCTCTTAGATGATCCCAAACTGTGCCAGTTCGTGTAACTCTAAGTGACTGAACGCCTCCCAAGGACAGATGACGGTGATGTCTGCAAAAGAGAAAATCATTTTTTGAAACATTTCGGAGTTTATTACAATTTTTGTGCTTTTTTTTTTTTATATGTAACATCAAGTAATCATTTTTCAGCCCTCCGATCAGCCCCAGGAGTGGGGAGCAGAATTTCAATCTTATCCTGATACTTATGCTTAATGAAAATCAAAAAAATGAAGAAAAGGGTAAAAAGGAAGCGATAAGTATCCAAATTGTTATTTCCCAGGAAGATCCCATGAATCATTAGGAAAAAAAACACCATCCTCAAATATAGGGCTGCAGCTAACGATTATTTTCATAATCGATTAGTTGCCCGATTATTTTTTCAATTAATCGATTGGTTGTATTTAAAGAAACTCTGTCTCTCTCCCTCCCTCTCTCTCCCTCTCCCTCCCTCCCTCCCTCTCTCTCCTTCGCTCTCTCTCTCTCTCTCCCTCCCTCTCTCTCTCTCCCTCCCTCTCTGTCTCTCCCTCTCTCTCTCTCCCCCCCTCCAACTAATCAGTAATGAGAATTGTTGCCAACTATTCTCATTATCGACTATTATCGATTTAATCGATTAGTTATTGCAGCCTTATTCAAATAGGCCACCATATTAAAGTGATACTAAACTCAGGGGTTAATCCTTAAAAATACAGTGAAGTCCCTTAACTATTAACAACAATGTATCTTATTTGTGTATCACTCGGCTGTAGATCCTCAAATCATCACTGAATTTGTGCTGACACTGTCCTTCCTTCTGGAGGGGGGCTACGTCTGTTCCCCATGGTCCCTGTGTGTGTTGTAAAGTAGTCACCGCTCCAAGCTTGCTCCCGGCATGGACTACAATCTCAATACAAATTAGTAAACTAAACATGAGATTGTAGTCCATCCCGGGGGGGCGGAGCTTGGAGTGGTGACTACTTTACAACACACACAGGGACCAATGGGAACAGACGTAGCCCCCCCTCCAGAAGGAAGGACAGTGTCAGAGATGATTGGAGGATCCACAGGCGAGTGATACACAATTAAGATACATTGTTGTTCAGAGTTAAGGGACTTCAATGTATTTCTAGAGTTTAATTCCAGAGTTTAGTATCACTTTAAAAACAATTATATTATAATTGAATTTTATTTTAACTTAATGGAAACCGAGCTCTTCCTTCTGTTTTTCCCTCACATTCAATCATTTTAAGGTCTCGTATGAAATTAACTCTTTACGGTCAGAAGAGATACTTTATGATCACATCAATGGCATACCTGTTCCAAGTCCCTCCATTCCCGGTATATCGTCACCAAACCTAAAAAAAAGAACAGAAATGGAAAGTTTATAATAAAGTCTGATGGGAGTTTCAGTTCCTAAAATACAAAGGATGAACTGGTTCAAAATGAATGGCCTGGGTCCTCCCAAGGATCTATTTTTATGGACTAAACCAATAAAATTATTAATGACTGAGGAACAACTTGGTTATCTATTTTCTTCTTCAGCCAAAGAAACTGTTTCCAATGTATGCAAAGAATTACAATAATGTTTACACTTTTGAACAACCATATACCCTATATACCATATTGTACGCCTTGGGGCACCATGTTGTGTGCAAACCAACAGAACCCGAATCAGCTGTCTTGCTGGGAGTCATTGCTGCAACTATTGTAAAATGTGGTTGAAAGATGACAGCAAAGGCAATAACTAAAAATAAATCAGAATCAAACTAGATACTTAGGGGTCTACTTATAAATAATTCCCAGGGCCATTTGCTCTGTCATTCTCGGTGAACGCTCATTTTGTGCACATAGCTGCAAAGCTAAACATTCTTCTTATTACATTTGTACTTGTCAAATGTAATTTCAAATGTTAAAATGTAGCACTGCATTATGTCCACTAGATGGTGCTAAAGCATCTTAAGAAATTAGTATTTAGTTTCTATGATCCTCGGCTCCATCTAGTGGCCATAATGGGGTATTACACCGTAACATTCAAAAGTTTGATATTGGCAAGTTTAAATGGCGCCTCAATTTGGTAGGTTTCTTTCCCTTGTTGGACAGCCACACTTGTAGGAGAACACTCTCTGACTTAGATACGTGTTGTAACTAAGTTTAATCACAAGCTTTGAAATGATCAAAAATGGAAATTATTGGCTGATTGTGAACCTGAAATTGTATATTTACCCTTTGACACCTTTCTTTGGTGGCTTGCTTTTGAACTGACGCGTCTGCCTCTGCTTGAACTTTGGTGGCCCCTTGCGAGGTGTGGTGGGTCCACCTTGGTTGCTAGCGGGAGCCAAGGCGCTGGTTGCCGGTGAGCTGGTGTTCATTGTTACAAATAACGGATTCCACTCTCAGAAACCTGGATGCAAGAAAGAAATACATTGCTCATTAAAGATATGTGTGTGAGAATGGGGCAGCCTACGATGGTCGGAATAATGTTGGCTATTAAATTTGATTTCTTTATTTCAGGTATTTATAGTGCGCCGACAATTTACGCAGCGCTTTACATAGTTGCACATTCACATCAGTCCCTGCCCTCAAGGAGCTTACAATCTAAGGTCCCTATCTTACATGCATACAAAGAGGGCCAACTTAGAGAGGAGCCAATTAACCTACCAGCGTGTCTTTGGAGTGTGGGAGGAAACCGGAGCACCCGGAGGAAACCCACGCAGGCACAGGGAGAACATGCAAACTCCTTGCAGATAGTGACCTGGCTGGGGTTCGAACCGGGGCCCCCCAGTGCTGCGAGGCAGAAGCGTGAACCACTACACCGCTGTGCTGCCCCCAATATTGATTTGTCTGTCCCTCTCTGCAATCTCTTATATACAATGGTGGGTCCGCTGTAAAATTTTTGGGATATTGAAATGTATCTCAACCGGTTTTAAATGCAGATGGGTAAATCCTCTGCCTTTTTGGAGGGAGGGTTTGGGAATAAAAATCTGACAGGTGCCGGTCCATTACCTAAAAAATCCAAGGCATTTTAGGACCTGCCTTGCTTCATCCAAACTGGAAAAAAAAACAACAAAGTTTGGGCTATAGTGGCATTTGACATATTAATAAGAGTGACATTGTAAATTACAATCATATGGAAACCATGGCACTCTAAGGCAAGCCAACATATCGTAGGAATAAGGTATCCAGGCATCTCTTGTTATACTGTATGATCAATTTATCCTGAGGAGTGTAACATTGTAACAGTTTGTGTGCGATCTGACCTCTTCCTGAATTCCCTGTGTCATAAAAAAGAAGGAAGGAAAAAAAAACTAATTTTTTAAGCCGGTGTTCTATCTAAAGTTCCAACTTATCGAGTTCTCCAACTGCCTGACTTCCGGTTTAGTTAGAACTACGAGGTTTGGCCAAGAAAGCTCTTCTGCGCGAGCGCCAGCCGCGGCATTGACCTATACACATACACCACGGCAATGAAGTATGAAAATGAACTAGGATCACACTAATACAGCGCGTTATGAATGTCAGGTGCCCCACGCAATATGGCCGCCGCTTGAGTGGGGCACGTGAGATTAACCTGTTATCTCAGCTGTTGTGAAAAGGGATTTAGAATTCCCCAAATGGAGACATGGAGCTGATTACACAACACGTCTTTACAGAGAGAACAATGCTGATTATTCAACAAATGTACACAACGTCTGAGGAAATGTTTCTTTATTTTGGGGTTTACGACTCTTTTGAACACTAGATGTCTCTTCAGTGCTACAATAAATCATCCCGAGGTTATACTGTGTTGCGAAACTTCTTTTTAGAGATCCGAGTGATTAAATTGAATTTCTTTTGTCATTTGTTTCTTTGTTTTGCACCAACAAGGACAATGATGAAATATTTATTTTACAATAACAATCGCGTTAATCCCTCTAAAGCTCAAATGAGGACAAATGCAGCCCATGGAAATAGTCCTGTGGGGTCAAGGCTTGGCCGCAGTGGAACAAGCCCGGGCAGCATAAGTATCGCAGAGGAGCCCATTGATGGATTTGTGGTGCATTTTAGGATCTGTAACATATTAGAAAAGAGATCTCAATGGCAGATACAATCTTGTTATAGAAGTGTTTAATAAAACAATAATACTTCTTTATCAATATTATATCTGCCGTCATAAGCTCTCTCCTAATGAGTTACGGTTCCTAAAATACACCAAAAATCCATCACTGGCCGTCTCTGTGGCACTTATGGCCTCTGGGCTTCTTCCACTGTGACTAATGTGTGCAACCCCCCTGAAGTCCTCCAATGGACCATGGACTGGACTTCCTGAGCACTCACATTGACCTTTCATCCCTGGGACCAGGGGTAGCCAAACTCCGGCCCTCCAGCTGTGGTGAAGCTACAAATCACATGATGAGTCTCTCTCCGGGAGTCATGTCTTTGAGAATCTTGCAATGCCTCATGGGATTTGTAGTTCCACCAAAGCCAGAGGGCCGGAGTTTGGCTACCCCTGCCCTAGACAGATATCTCCTCCACAAGATCCACACCCATGTTGTGTACACCATTCTTTCATGGTCACTCCCAAACCCATCACATGTAAGTGACTCGATCTTATACTGCACCTGTTGGGTATTCTTTACATCCCATAACTCTACCGTCTTCACTCTTTTTTCTTTATTCGGTGGAAGTTTCCCGAATATCCAGTTGTTCCCGCTCTGAACATATGGTATAGGGCAGTGGTAGGCAACCTTGGCCCTCCAGCTGTGGTAAGGCTACAAATCCCATCAGGGCTATGCCTCTGTAAGTCGTGCCAGTGTCAGGGTCTTGCAATGCCTCATGGGAGTTGTAGGGTTACAACAGCTGGAGTGCTTTGGTAGCCTGCCCCTGATATACAGTACGATGTATAGGTGTATGGTGAACTGCATTCAGTTTAAACAATGTGACAACCTCCTTTGGTTCAATACTGCTATGGGAAATGTCTGATATACTCCAATATATTTGCGGTCCTTGTCACAGAAGGGTCAGGTATGTTTTCTGGCCCATTAAAGGGAATCAAAAATAAATCTGTATTATTATTATTATTATTATACAGGATTTATATAGCATTTGCACAGCACTTTACAATATAATGAAGACGTTACAATCACAATGTAAAGCACACTGGGAATCCAGGAAGTTATTGGAAGTGATGGGCAGAGGGAAGGCAGTGCTCCCTACATAGAAGGGATTTCTTCTAGCAAGCTTTGATTGTATTATTAGACACAACTCTACTATGTATTCCTATTACAATGTAACAGGAGAGGAGGTGCTGGGGCTGAGAACTCCTTTAAATAGTAATATTCTGTTTTCCAGATCTCTCCGAGAACATTTGGGATTTGCACTCAGGTAATCCCCTTTCTCGATAATTAAAAACCTGTCTTTGCCTGATCCCATTATTCCCTGTGATCTGATCATCAAAGGTCACAGATAAATCTAACGGCATAATCTGTCGCAGGTGACGCCGCTCGACATACGCTCTGTAATTGGATGAAGGAGCAATATAGCATTCCACGAAAAGCAGGGATTAAAATAATGTATTAGGGGCCATTTACATAGGGGAATGGAGGACCAGAGCTACGAGACGAGGCTTCTGAACTTAAACATGTTCACGTTGGAAGTAAGGAGATTAAGGGGGGATATGATTTTCATGTACAAGATGTTCAATGGTGACGGCAACATTAGCGATAAACTGTTTGAGATTAACTCCATTACAAAGACTAGAGGCCGCCACCTAAAGTTGGTGGAGAAAAAATTCCAGCACAAGGGGCGAAGAGAGTTCTTTACAGTAAGAGCGGTTAAGGTCTGGAACTCACTGCCATCGGCCGTCATCTCAGCCAAGAGTGTAGATTTGTTCAAGAAACTTTTGGACAATTTCTTGAGGGACCGTAATATCCAGGGATACCAGTATCCCTAAGAATGAGATGATGCGTGGACCTATATGGGTTGGACTTGATGGACGTATGTCTTTATTCAACCCCAAATACTATGTAACTATGTAACCATGTGACATCTACTCATTGCAGGACACGTTACATGTGTTGACACAACGTGGCGCCATTTGTTGACAGTGGTACCACCACACACTAAGGGGTCTATTTATAAACAATTCACAGGACCCTTCGACCTGCAAATATCCATGAACGTTCATTATGGGTAAATAATGCCAAAAATTAACATTCTTAATATATTTTTCTCCAGCTCAGCTGCATTGTGATGCAATACTACATTATGACCACTAGATGGAGTCGAAGAGTAAGATGTATTTCTCTCCTACGCTCCCCAGATCCATCTAGTGGCCATATTGTAGTATTACATCACAATACAATCAAACTGGAAAAATATATATTAACTAGAATTTGGTTCAAAAACTAAACTGAATCGCACATGTGACTTTCCTGACCAATCAGATGTGTTTTTCGGTTTGTTGCATCTGAATGGGTCTGAACATTTTCGTTACGGCAACATGGGAGCCACATACAGTATATACATATAATACTAAAGCCGAGGCTCCTAGATCCAAATGGCATTCGGGAGCTCCTGAATGCCATTCGGGTCTGGGAGCCTCAGCTTTAGTAATATATGTATATGGCTCCCAGACCCCATTGGCATTTGGGAGCTCCCCAATGCAATTCTGAAATTCGGATCCCGAATGCCATTCGGGTCTGGGAGCCTCAGCTTTAGTAATATATGTATATGGCTCCCAGACCCCATTGGCATTTGGGAGCTCCCCAATGCAATTCTGAAATTCGGATCCCGAATGCCATTCGGGTCTGGGAGCCTCAGCTTTAGTATTAATAGCTGTATATGGTTTTCTGTGGTATATTCATTCCACCAAAACTGATTTAATTTCGGACCTGGATCCCAAATCCCGAAATAACGAAAAATCTGAACTGAGCCGAATTTTCCGCATGTCTAATGTAGATGTATCCGACAGTTACAATGTTTAAAGATGACATTTTATGGTTAATGTTTTATGACATTTAGGCCTCATTCACACTGGCGCGCGTACGTGCGTATTGTACCCTATGCAGCATATGCAAATACATGGCTCCATACACATAGCCGCATGGAGCCATATATTTGCGTAGCGTAAAAATGCGCAAAAACCGAATGGAACCGAGATGCGTCCGGGCAGCGTATTTCACGCGCATACGCGTGTACAGTTCATAAAAATTTCTATTACGAATGATGCATTCTGGGATTGCATATAGTATACGCATATACACACATACGCACGTACATACGCATCATTTTGCTCTTGCGTTGTGTGTGAATGAGGCCTTAGGAGGAAACTTAACGTAAGGTGTCACGAGCCCGTGTTCACTTCCAATATCACATCATGTGCAGGAAAATGTCAAGGATCATAGAAGTTTTCACATGTTATTCATC